GTTTGTCACTCGAATATTATAAGAAAAAGCAATAGACAATGGACGTTTACAATAAATCACACGCAATTTTTTTTTAAATTATTATCTAAAACATAGAATTATAGCTCCATTCACTTTAATTACTAACGAAGCCGTTTGGATGCTCTTCTCACTTTTAACACCACTTGAACCAGCATATGCCTATTAAGATAATGCTAACTGAAACAGATTGAAAGGGTACTTTAACGAATAAGTTTTAAATTTAGATTTAGAGTCTTAACTAATGACTTTCGAATGTTGTATAGTAGAGTTGTGTAGAGCGTTACTACACAACTCTATACACAAACGTGATAATAGATGTTTAAGTATTTTAATCGCTATTACACTATTAATAATTAATAACTGTTTGATTTGTGTATACCCGATATACAGTCCCTTGGGACTGGACTTAGGCTCAATATACACTGCTGCGGAACGGAATGGAAGCGAATTTTTGTAACGAAATTGTACGTAGTAAAATGAGTCTTATGGTAATTGTGTAACGCGCAAACTAGATATGAGCCAAAAAAAAAAGTCGCTCATTTTCCGCGGAATTCTCAAGGATTCCCGTAGCTTCTGTCGGTGAAGTCTGTGGCATTCGCGGGAAGTGGCGCGAAGGGCGTGGAATCTAGATTAACTTTTCTACAGCCCCAATATAATATATAATTATTTGCAATAGTTAAAAATATATATATATATATATATATATATATATATATATATATATATATATAAATTATTTGCAATAATTAAAAATCATAAATTACTTAATTCATAAATTACACACATTTATTAATTTACACACGCCCTTACATACGAGTATCTATCACGTCACAAGTGCTAATAGACCAATAAAATTATATTCAATTAATACCTACGAATAAATAATTAATGTAAAATTGACCACATAAAATAACTAGCTTATAAACTTATAATATTGTTTAAAACTATTGTATTAAAAAATTTATATAATATTATTTTACTATATTTGTATTAATTTAGCTAAAGTTCATTGTATTGAGTGGTCTAACCTTATCTTTCCTAAAAATGTTAAAAACTTAAAAACCTTTATGGCGGTAAAAAATAAATAAGAATTGAATATCAATGTTAACTTTAGTATAAAACTAACTTTTGTTGTCGTTATTGTTATTGTGTTTTGTCGTTGGTGAATATAAGTTTAGTTTAGTGATATAATATATTTTGTGTCATGGAGGAAGGAACTGCCACCTGTGATACAGGCTAGGCTGTACTAGACAGCCGGCAGTAACCACGGAGTACTTTTTTAGCAGTAACAAACCGAAGTAAGCAACTTAAAAAATTGTAAAATTTGCACATAGCTTATTTTAAACATATTGTAAAAAAGCTTATTATAAGGAAAGGAATGTAATTATGCTAGTAAACTTTATTATTATTATTAGCATGAGGTGGACTGTGTGCTCGTTTGTCATCCTTATTCTATACAAAAAAGATGAAGTGATGACCTTGTAAAAGATACAGAAGCAGGAGTCGATGGATGCAAATGACTCAAGACAGTGTTTACCGTTTTTATTGAGGGGGGGGGCTATATTTAGCAGAGAATTTGTGAAGGGCTGTAATGATAAAGATGATGAGTAACCTATATAATACATTTCAGTAGCATAAGCATTATTCATGAGGAATGACAGTGTTTTATACATTACATATACATACATACATTAATAGGTAATTGCTGATGGGGTTCACAGAATTTAAAGAGCAGCGAAACCCTCGAACTACGTGAAGAGTAAAAAATATGGATAAAGATAGAAAATTGTGAAAGATGAGATAGGTAGCTATCCTAATGCCTACACTATTACAAACAAGACATAATAATTTGCCTTTTACGATAAGTTAAGCAAGTAAAATTTGGCAAATTCTTTTCTCTTATAAGCTCCACTTATACATGAGGCCTATAATTTGATATATATATATACAGTTAGACTGTCGTATAGCCCGAAGGCGAAGCCGAAATCGCGCGTCTTCCCGTGGCAAATTTGATACTTCCGTTCCATTTCATTCCACCGCAAATAATATATATATATATATATATATATATATATATATATATATATATATATATATATAACTGTAGAATGATTTACTCTACGCTCGATATACTAACGGATAGGGGTTAAAGAAAAACTTCTTGAGTAAACCTGCATATTCAAAAAATTAAGTTAAATATTTCTTTTTTTAGATATTCTGTCTTTTAGATATTTTCGAATTACCGCAGGGTTATATTTTAAGTCCATTCTTCTACACATTATTTTTCAAATAATTTTTACTTACTGAAAATATTCCTTGCAGCACTGATCCATCGCGAAAATACACAATGAACTGAAAACTGACGGGACGTCAGGTGGCACTGACGAAGAACAGTCTTCGGAGGTGTGATTTCTACCATACGCAGTACCCTGGTTGCAGCACAGCTGCGTCGTTTCTGCCATTTGGTCGGCGAGTGAGCCTGGAATAAATATAGTTTGAATATAAATTATGTTTCATTAAATTATTCCTTTATATAAAAGTGGGACAAACGAGCACATTTTGCTGGTATAGTAATAGGACTCGTTTCCTGCCTAGATGTCTGGTTTCTTGGTTCAAATAGCATCACCCGCACTGCTGTATTTTGGTCTAAAGGGTATATAGAGGCAATATAATTAAGGTCCTCTAGACCGAATTTCGGTCACGGTTTTCAGCCTCAACGGACACTAGCTATCGGCGCAGGACAAGATTACAGTTCCCAAATGTGCGTGCAAGCACAAGCGCACTCTCTATTCCTTCACTCTTATAATCCGATGGGACCGTAAACCGGAAAAAGATCAGGCGCAGAGCCAATGGTTATCACCAAACCAAAGTCACATTCTTTTCTAGCCACGGGGGTGAGAAACCGCCAACTTCCTGACTCCAGACAGCTACTAAGAATTTTGGACGGAAAAACTCAATAATTGTTTTTTTTTGGTCCCACCCGGGATTCGAACCCAGGACCTCATGATCAGTAGTCGCACTACTACAACCACTAGACTAACGAGGCAATATAATTAGAGACTGTGAGGTGTTCCATCTTAGTATTCAAAGGTTACTACGTATCTGTAGCTTTTTAGTCCAAAGCCATCTGGTGTAACAAGACTCTAAGTTTATTTTCCACTTCCTTTTTACAAAAAAAAAAACATATTTCACCTGAAGCCTTTTGCTTCTTTTCACTTGTATGAAATCTTATAATTACGCGCCCCTTTAATAATTTATTCCAAAACGCAACTCCTCCTAGTCCAAAGAGGATAAACACAAGCATAGTTCTTTTCTCTCCTTTGGTACCCAGACTGTTTTGTGACTGGTTTTGTCAGAGGATTGTAATTTTTTTTTTCTATTCCTAACATTACACACCATTATATCCAACTTCAACAAAGAAGGTTGACAATACGACTGTATGACTTTATGTCTGTGTAACGCGATATCTCCGTCAAATTGTTAACCTATTTTGATGATTCCTTGAAATTAAGGTTAAACTTATGTAGTGGCACCATGTTCATTTTAAATGTTTCTCCAGTTTTTCTCACTCACCATATGAAATACATTTATATCGATAGACAACATGCATCACGCAAAAACCTATAAACGGATCTATTGGACTTTCGCTATAGTGTTACATAGAGGTCTAACTATTGGAATAATTAAAATTCATCACACTATCTTTCATATGAGCAGTGCAGTCTCCCTTTGGCAGCTACAAAAAGGTTTAAAATTTACATTGTTGTGAGATTAAATAATTACAGTACCTATCCAATTTTGAGTTGTTTTTACATTTTTCCTATCCGTTATTACCTAAATATCCAAGTTTTTAAGCAATTGCATAGCTTCTATCGCGGGCCTTGAGCGCGGGGACCGAATCCAGAAATTCCGTAACTAAAAAAACCTCACGCTCCCCACTCCGACGGGCACGGAGGTGTGGCGTTGAAAGCCATGCATCGTCTAACGTCGTTTCAGTTCGACAGACTTCGGCATTCGGCAGACTTCGGCACGGTGTTTGTGTGCGTGCGACTAGACGTATGCGTGTACACTAGCTGCTAACTCAATGATAAAAATTCCTGAATAACCTACATGTATTGTAAGATATTAAAAATATTTTAAACAATATTAACTTCTCATTTATTCAATAAGAGAAAAAAAATTGGTTTCTTATCGGTCACCACGCTCAAAAAGTGTAACTTGATTTAATATCAAAGACTTAACTGCATAAATAAAATAAATAAATAATTATCATTGCATAATTAGTTGATAAAAAATGCTATGCAATAGCTTTACCGCGGCAGTCACCGAGTGCCACACGTATTTTTTATTTTAGTGTAATAATCAACTAGTTACTCTTATTTACCTAGATGGCACTATAGGTAAATTAAAGCAACATCTGATTTTATTATACGCGGGTTATAATACTATGACATATCTGTAATAGATAGTGCTTTCAACGCAATGTTATCTACAGATCGGTAAATGTTATCAGCAGACCAGTAAATTTAATTGTCTTATTTTATCCTTCAGGCTAGGCAATGCAAAAAAGTAGATGGTTTCGTGCTCCTCATGTTTATATTACTTTTATGCGAAATGCTCATATGCAAATATAAATTTTCTTAGGATATATATGCTTTTAAATAATACTAGTTTTTACGGAATTTATCGCGTATATTTTAACTTTTTAAATACCCGACGTTTCGAACGCTTTACAGCACTCATGGTCACGGGCAGGACTGAGATGTTCAACGTCCATATGTCATAGTTAACCGCGGTTACCATAGATTAAAATTTAACTTTTGTTCCGATCTATGCAGTATGAACTTATGGTATCTTGAAGTCTTGCAGATGTATGCTTGGGTTGGGATTTAATTTTATTTATTATAGGATCGCAAGCAGATGGTAGCACCCAGCCATCTTCTCTATTGAAATTAGGATGTTTTTTGATTTCAATAGCCTCGCGAATCATCCTTGGAAGGAATCGGTGTTCTTTAGCGAGGATCTGCGGTCTATCAAATCTGATGTAGTGACGGGGGCGATACTGTACGTGTTCACAGACTGCAGACTCTCCGGGCTCCTCAATTCTCTCGACGCTCCTTTAAGCGACAGTAGCCTAATGGCAGGGCGGCGACCGCGAACTCAAAAAGGTCGTGGGATCAAATCCGCCATTCGACTACTGGCGTGAACCACTCGTAACACAAGCAATTTAAGCTTACCACGAGTGGTTAAGGGGAATATTAGTAATGTTTATAGCATTATTAATATTCTTTTTATAAATATATATATATATATATATATATATATATATATATATATATATATATATATATATATATATATATATGCTGTTAATTTGTTCGTTGATATAAAGTTTATTAATAGCGCCTATCTGTTAAAAATGCAAACGGAGTAGAGTTCAATTAAACAGTAACGGCCCAACTATGGCCCTTTAATAGTGCATGTTATTCATTTATATTATTGTTTGCTAAGGAAATCCTTAAAATTAGACAAAATATTTTTATTTAGTTTAGAAATAGCGTTTATGTAATATCATTTTTAATGGACACTATGACAACTTTAATCGAATAGAATAGAATATAATTAGCCGTAGACTAAGTGTTGCCCTTTATTGACAGATGTCACTGTACACTGTTTATTACTTTAACCTCTTATTAATATGTATCGTCTCGGGTATCAACGCACAGTCCAAATCGCTAAGCGAAAATATCTGAAATTTGGAGAGTACCTTTTATGAAGTAGACATCCATTGAGAAAGGATTTACGATTTAGGGGGTGTGTTACAGTTTGTATGAACATTTTTATTTTACGGGACGATTGACTGTGATTTCAGACTTTGTTTAATTTTGTATAGAGAAAACATATTTGAATAAAAATAACAACTTCTAAATAATTTAGATGAACCACATGTTATACTAATGGACAATGCACCCTATCACTTAGTTCAAGTTCAAAAAACTAAGCCTCCGGCAGCGAATAACCGGAAGAATGTAATAATTTCGTGGTTGCAAACCAATAGAGTACAAGCCGACGGCAAAATGTTGAAAAAAGAACTCTTACGTTTAGTGGGAATACACAAGCCCCAGACGCCAATATATGTTTTGGATGAGATGGCAAAAAAAAGGGACATATTGTTATCCACCTGTCACCGTATCATTGCCAGTATAACGCAGTTGAATTGATTTAGGTGCAAGTTCAAGGTATTTAATATTAAAACAATGTTGATCAATTAGTGCAACACTAAAAAAAAATAACTCATTGTTTTCGTTTTAGGTCATGCAGCAAGACACAACACCACCCCACCGTTCACGGAAAATAAAATGTTAAATTTGCTGAACAGTGCATGTGAACATGTAGCACCTCTCAATTGGAAGAAAATGGTCGATAAAACGTGAATTATCATAGAGGATTGGCAACGGGATGTCCGCATTGATTACTTGTTTGACTAGGAATTAATAATTAAAGTAACTCTGATTCTGATGATGATTGTGACTTTGGATGTAAAGTGTACACCCTTGTGTCAATAAATTTACTATTGCCAATATTTTTTTATTAACCCAAAATGAGTCCCAGTGTTTAAATACTTGGTTAAAATCAGTATTGGGTGCGATTTTTTTATTAATATTTATTATTATTTTGTCGACATATCTATTTAATTTTCGCAGCACTAGTCACATGAGAATGACAGCTGTCATACTAATCAAGCTACATTTAAGCTAAGAACAAATTATCGGAAGTGTCCGTCAGCCGCGGCTTACAGACGCAGCTTATTGAAATCTAGCCAGTACATTTGATACTACACTGTGCAAACTATCGGTTGTAAGACGCGGACATGACCTTGCGTCGCTCTTGAGCGTTCGGACGTCCGAACAGAATCTGGCCGGCTGGATGTTTGGTGCGTCCGCGGACAGTGTGAACGGGGCACGGGACGCGTCCGCGGACGTTTCGAGTGTCACAAGCGAACCAACTGCGCTCGCGACATGATGTGTAATGAAAAAAATTAATTGAATGTGTTCATGGCCACGAGTGCCTATATTTATAAGTACATATTAGTACATTCATAAGTACATTTTTTTAACGTTTATCATCTTTTTGTAAGTTGAGTTAAGCCGCGTCTGTCGGCCGCGGCTGGCGGACGCGTCCGATAGTTTGTTCTCAGCTTTAAAGAACTAGAGATGGTGTCAGCGCTGAATCAAAAGAAGGTTTTGTTACCACCATCGGTCATACCAAATGGTTTTAAATATAATTTTATTCATTTTTTGAATGCGTTATATTTATATTTTAAGTATTTCTGCTTTTGAGTATTTAAATGTTAAGAGTTTTGATTGCTGAATACTTTTAAATTTTTTATGTTGTTACTATTTCCAACGTACCCAACCCATCAAACCCTTTAGGCTTAATTACGGTCATGGCGGCCAGTCTCATAGGAGACCAGCCATT